AAATCATAACAAAAATAATATATAAATCTCAATAAAAAATATTACAATTAATATAGAGGCGCTGGTGGCGCCTCCTCTTCTCTTGTAATAAATAATGAGAAGTATTTTATATAAAATTTGATCAAAGATATCTGGGCTTCTGCAGAACTCAGACATCGACTAGTCAAATTTTATATAAAATATATCAGTTATTGGTACAAAGCATTTAATAATGATATTATATAATATTCTATAATAATTAGAAATTAAATTTAATAATAATAATAAATTAAACTTTAAAATAAATTATGTATTAACAATAAAAGTTACTGATACTATAATATTGAAAAAAGAAAAATTCAATATAATTTGATTTTATATTTGTTTGTTTATATTTATTTTTGCTCTTTTACTTTTTTTCTTTATTTCTTTACAAAATTGTGCTGTATATAAAAAAATGCTGAAAGTTACAAATAAAAAAATATTTATTATAAACCTACAAATAAAAAAAATAATTAAAATAATTAAAAGTATAATATTTGTAAAGCAACTATTAAGTGAGTTAGAATCTTAGAAGCTTGGTGTTCAGAAGTTAGATATAACTATAGCATTAAATCTATTACAAATAAAGATTAATTTGATATAAATAACTAAATTTATTATTGGTATCTGTAAAGTCCATAATCAAGAAGAATATTCATCTTCTATACTAACAAACTGTATTAGATTTTAAGTATTCATATTTTAAATGGATTTAATTATTTTGTGCAGGTATGTTATAATGCACCCTATAAGATCAAGTATAATATAAAATCAAAACAATAGTTTTTATATGATTAGGGTTGGCATTAGGTAAAGTTAAAGTAGTTATAAAAGATAGGTTTATAGTAAAATCTTGCAAGGAATTTTTTTTGTTAGGACCAAAAAGATAGTTGTATATGAGAAATTTGGAGTTATAAGTAATTTTTGGCAAAATGAATACTTGTTTTGAATTTTCTAATCGTGTAATATTACACCTAATCTTATATTTTAATTGGTTGATCAGGGTGAATTACAATGTATATATGCTAAATTATATAATTCTTTAAAATACTCTAAAGCAACTATAAAGTATAATATAGACAATAGAAAAAAATTTGCTAAATTATAGAATATATTGAATAGAAAATTAAAATAGCTAAAAAAAATAATATTGTATTATAATACTATAACCACCTTATAGGTGAGGGATTAAAAATGATTTTTTAATATAAAGTAGTTTCTAATGATACATCACAAGGATTACTTTATAGAATTTTATATGTATTGTCTTTTATTTTAATCCCATGCTAGTGAATACTATAAACTATCTATAGCACAATTTACTTTTGTATTTAATAGTAGTATTCATTTTACAAAAAATTACCAAAAGAATGACCAAGATGAAATCAACAAAAATTCTAATAATCATATTATTTCTATATCTCTGGATTCTGAAGATAGTCAAGAATTTGTTTATAATTTCAAGCTTTATTGTTTTAAAAGACTAACTACTTCTAATTGCATATTGCTTTACTTACAAATTAATAAAAAGACAAAAGGTATTATATATTATATATTATTGTTTTTTTATTTATTATTATAATTTTTATTTAGATCTTCAAATAGATTAGTAGTATTATGATACAAAATTAGGTGAAAAAGCTTGTAAAATGCTTCTAAAAACTATTTATATTTCTATTGGCATTAATATAAAAGATCATAATATCATTAACCATTCAGGTAAATCTATATCCATTATATTTTATTTCAGAAGAAAGTTCTTATAATTATAATGATAATATTAACTTGGCATAAAAGTAAATCATCATATCATATTTATGCGCACCTATCTAAATAATATGCTTTTACACTAATTAACAATATTGAAATGTTGCCACCTTCAAGTAATTTAATAATTTGAAAACTTTGAATAACTCAGAAGTTTCAAGTAAATTGGATGCCTCAAGTGAATCAGATGCTCCAAATGAATCAGAAGCCTTAAATAATACCAAAATTTTAAGCAAATTAAAGTCTTCATGTATATTAAAAGTATATACTTATTATTTTTTTTTATTTTAATGATTATTTATTTATTTATTTATTTTTTTAAAAGCTAATACAAAACAAAGTTCAAGTTTTCCTGTCTACTCTGCATCTTCTGTTTTTAGACCATTTTGTGCACTATTTCAAGATTCATCCAAAATAAACTTACTATTGCACTCAAATGCATCTAAAAAAACCCTACACTTGGTGGTCGACAAGTTCTTCGTAAACCTTCCAAGATAGATAATTTTGAAGAAATGACCAGTAACACTACAGTCATCAAAAATTACTATATCACAGCTGAAAATGTTACTATCAACTAGAAATATATATTCGAGTTGATGTAAATTTGATTTTATTATTGAATTTAATGAGCGACTATATAATTTTAAAGGCTTTCGGGCCTAATACAGCAGTTTAAAATTAAATTTCAATAAAAAAAATAATCAGTAAAGTACGTAGCTGAATTAAATTTAATAAAAATAACTGCCAAATAACCCGGGTTATTTGATAAGCTCGATCATAGTATGATGACAGATAATAAAAATTACTTTGAAAATGGAAATTTAAAAATACTATAATATAGAAGATTATATAGTTAAAACATATTAAATATAATATAAATTAAAAAAAAAGGTTAATTGCCAGTTTTTCATTCAATATTCAAAATGTAAATATCCATAAATTAAATTCGGGGACTAATTCTAACATTCATCTCCAGAACTTTAGGAATAACTCCGTTAGTAGAAATTTTTAATGACTCATGGGTATTCGTTAAGTCTAAATTAAAATTTTTATATACTGATGCCATTAATATAAGTAGTTCGACCACTGCTAACTTTCTTCCTGGGCAAATTCGTAGACCTCCACCAAATATTGGTAAAAATTTTTTATCAGATTGATCATTATTATAAAACCTATCTGGATCATAAACTTCAGGATTAGGCCAAAGCTCTGGATCCCTATTTGTTGATAAAACATCCAAATGAAACAGTGTACCAGCAGGCCATTTATATCCAGCAATTTTACACTCTTCAGTAACATAACGAGTGTTAAGACCAATTACAGGCATAAGGCGGAGAGTTTCTTTAATTACAGCTTCACAATATTTTAGTTTTAGGAGATCATCGTGTGTTACACTAAATTTATTAGATGATTTCGGGAAGACGGAGTCAATTTCTGAAAGCACCTTTTGTTTTATATGCGGGTGTTTGCAAAGATAGTAAGTTATGTAACAGAATGCATTAGGACCCTAAAATTTAAGAGAATAACATTTAATAAAGAGGTAATAAATAGGTAAATGACAAACCAAATCATTTAAAAAGCAATACTTACGGTTTCCGTTCCACCCATAAATGCTTCTAATAAATTGCCTCTGATTTCCTCATCATTCATTGGTTTGTCGGTTATACTATCAGTATCCCTTATTTTGTTTGCAATGATTAAGGAAGTTAACATATCGGTTTTCATTTCTGTATCCGCTGACATTTTTTCAATTTCTTCCCTTCTCTTCTTAATTACCATACGCAATCTTCCAAATAAGTAATCACGGTTTTTTAAAATAGAAATTGATTTGTCTCTGATTATTGGAGCATAATGTCTTATGAATGGGTTAATGAACATGAAAAATTCGACACCATCAATATGTTTTATAATTGACTGAACGAATGTGTCCTCATCTTCGATAAGCGCATTAAAAAATTTAGACTTTATATTGCTTATTTTGTTATAATAAGAGACCATTGAATATGTGCGTTCTCCAGTGATTAGTATTGAAATAAGATCGTTCGAATATCCATAAAGCCATGCAGGAAAATCTATTTCTAACGCCCAATTATCAGCATTAACATTATTATTACGTTGTATTCCAAGGGTATGCCAATATTCACTTAATTCTTCATACAAATTATTCGCAGAATTTATTACCGTATCCATAAATTTAGGTGCAAGTAGATGAGTAAAGGATTGTCTATTACGCTTCCAATGTTTATAACTAATGTTATTAAGAAGCCCATATCCATAATGCCCAATTTCAGCTTCACCTTCTGTATACGGAAACCTCCTTATATATGCATCACCTTTTGATGCTGGAGATAATATTTTTTCAATATCATCTGGTCGCGTGAGAACAATGCATCTAAGTCCCATAAGCATTACTTCACAAGTATCGCCATATTTCTGTCGACATTCCTTATAGAACTTTCTTACATCAAGACCGACATTATGGATGTTTCCAATGAATGGTAAAGGGAACGGGCCCGGGAGTGGATTAGTACGAGTAAAGTATTTGTAATAAAAGTTAAAAATATAGACAACAGTAATTAAGACGATAAAGAAGAGATATTCTTTGACGGTAAGAGATTCGATAATCTTTTGAATGGCCATGTTAAAGGAATGAATCAGTCAAGTGTAAAACATAAATTATTCAATAAAGACCGAGGCCGTGCCCCACTCTCAAAAAAAAAAAAAAAAAGGAATGAATCAGTTTAATTACACTCAATTCTCTTTATAACGTATAACGAACTCTGGATACGACTAAATTTTATATTAGTTCGGTATAAAAAGAAGTAAGGTTTCTTAAGAAACCAGATTTTTTTATATCCAGAACTGACAGTTCGTTATAACAACTTTTTTGCAATGAATCAACTTAATTTTTTTACAATGCTAATACCAAATTTTTTTTGAGACTTTAAATATTTATTTTAAATAAGCGAAAATCTTTGGAGATCATAATGAAATCGGTAATTTATGTTTTACACTTGACTGATTCATTCCTTTAACATGGCCATTCAAAAGATTATCGAATCTCTTACCGTCAAAGAATATCTCTTCTTTATCGTCTTAATTACTGTTGTCTATATTTTTAACTTTTATTACAAATACTTTACTCGTACTAATCCACTCCCGGGCCCGTTCCCTTTACCATTCATTGGAAACATCCATAATGTCGGTCTTGATGTAAGAAAGTTCTATAAGGAATGTCGACAGAAATATGGCGATACTTGTGAAGTAATGCTTATGGGACTTAGATGCATTGTTCTCACGCGACCAGATGATATTGAAAAAATATTATCTCCAGCATCAAAAGGTGATGCATATATAAGGAGGTTTCCGTATACAGAAGGTGAAGCTGAAATTGGGCATTATGGATATGGGCTTCTTAATAACATTAGTTATAAACATTGGAAGCGTAATAGACAATCCTTTACTCATCTACTTGCACCTAAATTTATGGATACGGTAATAAATTCTGCGAATAATTTGTATGAAGAATTAAGTGAATATTGGCATACCCTTGGAATACAACGTAATAATAATGTTAATGCTGATAATTGGGCGTTAGAAATAGATTTTCCTGCATGGCTTTATGGATATTCGAACGATCTTATTTCAATACTAATCACTGGAGAACGCACATATTCAATGGTCTCTTATTATAACAAAATAAGCAATATAAAGTCTAAATTTTTTAATGCGCTTATCGAAGATGAGGACACATTCGTTCAGTCAATTATAAAACATATTGATGGTGTCGAATTTTTCATGTTCATTAACCCATTCATAAGACATTATGCTCCAATAATCAGAGACAAATCAATTTCTATTTTAAAAAACCGTGATTACTTATTTGGAAGATTGCGTATGGTAATTAAGAAGAGAAGGGAAGAAATTGAAAAAATGTCAGCGGATACAGAAATGAAAACCGATATGTTAACTTCCTTAATCATTGCAAACAAAATAAGGGATACTGATAGTATAACCGACAAACCAATGAATGATGAGGAAATCAGAGGCAATTTATTAGAAGCATTTATGGGTGGAACGGAAACCGTAAGTATTGCTTTTTAAATGATTTGGTTTGTCATTTACCTATTTATTACCTCTTTATTAAATGTTATTCTCTTAAATTTTAGGGTCCTAATGCATTCTGTTACATAACTTACTATCTTTGCAAACACCCGCATATAAAACAAAAGGTGCTTTCAGAAATTGACTCCGTCTTCCCGAAATCATCTAATAAATTTAGTGTAACACACGATGATCTCCTAAAACTAAAATATTGTGAAGCTGTAATTAAAGAAACTCTCCGCCTTATGCCTGTAATTGGTCTTAACACTCGTTATGTTACTGAAGAGTGTAAAATTGCTGGATATAAATGGCCTGCTGGTACACTGTTTCATTTGGATGTTTTATCAACAAATAGGGATCCAGAGCTTTGGCCTAATCCTGAAGTTTATGATCCAGATAGGTTTTATAATAATGATCAATCTGATAAAAAATTTTTACCAATATTTGGTGGAGGTCTACGAATTTGCCCAGGAAGAAAGTTAGCAGTGGTCGAACTACTTATATTAATGGCATCAGTATATAAAAATTTTAATTTAGACTTAACGAATACCCATGAGTCATTAAAAATTTCTACTAACGGAGTTATTCCTAAAGTTCTGGAGATGAATGTTAGAATTAGTCCCCGAATTTAATTTATGGATATTTACATTTTGAATATTGAATGAAAAACTGGCAATTAACCTTTTTTTTTAATTTATATTATATTTAATATGTTTTAACTATATAATCTTCTATATTATAGTATTTTTAAATTTCCATTTTCAAAGTAATTTTTATTATCTGTCATCATACTATGATCGAGCTTATCAAATAACCCGGGTTATTTGGCAGTTATTTTTATTAAATTTAATTCAGCTACGTACTTTACTGATTATTTTTTTTATTGAAATTTAATTTTAAACTGCTGTATTAGGCCCGAAAGCCTTTAAAATTATATAGTCGCTCATTAAATTCAATAATAAAATCAAATTTACATCAACTCGAATATATATTTCTAGTTGATAGTAACATTTTCAGCTGTGATATAGTAATTTTTGATGACTGTAGTGTTACTGGTCATTTCTTCAAAATTATCTATCTTGGAAGGTTTACGAAGAACTTGTCGACCACCAAGTGTAGGGTTTTTTTAGATGCATTTGAGTGCAATAGTAAGTTTATTTTGGATGAATCTTGAAATAGTGCACAAAATGGTCTAAAAACAGAAGATGCAGAGTAGACAGGAAAACTTGAACTTTGTTTTGTATTAGCTTTTAAAAAAATAAATAAATAAATAAATAATCATTAAAATAAAAAAAAATAATAAGTATATACTTTTAATATACATGAAGACTTTAATTTGCTTAAAATTTTGGTATTATTTAAGGCTTCTGATTCATTTGGAGCATCTGATTCACTTGAGGCATCCAATTTACTTGAAACTTCTGAGTTATTCAAAGTTTTCAAATTATTAAATTACTTGAAGGTGGCAACATTTCAATATTGTTAATTAGTGTAAAAGCATATTATTTAGATAGGTGCGCATAAATATGATATGATGATTTACTTTTATGCCAAGTTAATATTATCATTATAATTATAAGAACTTTCTTCTGAAATAAAATATAATGGATATAGATTTACCTGAATGGTTAATGATATTATGATCTTTTATATTAATGCCAATAGAAATATAAATAGTTTTTAGAAGCATTTTACAAGCTTTTTCACCTAATTTTGTATCATAATACTACTAATCTATTTGAAGATCTAAATAAAAATTATAATAATAAATAAAAAAACAATAATATATAATATATAATACCTTTTGTCTTTTTATTAATTTGTAAGTAAAGCAATATGCAATTAGAAGTAGTTAGTCTTTTAAAACAATAAAGCTTGAAATTATAAACAAATTCTTGACTATCTTCAGAATCCAGAGATATAGAAATAATATGATTATTAGAATTTTTGTTGATTTCATCTTGGTCATTCTTTTGGTAATTTTTTGTAAAATGAATACTACTATTAAATACAAAAGTAAATTGTGCTATAGATAGTTTATAGTATTCACTAGCATGGGATTAAAATAAAAGACAATACATATAAAATTCTATAAAGTAATCCTTGTGATGTATCATTAGAAACTACTTTATATTAAAAAATCATTTTTAATCCCTCACCTATAAGGTGGTTATAGTATTATAATACAATATTATTTTTTTTAGCTATTTTAATTTTCTATTCAATATATTCTATAATTTAGCAAATTTTTTTCTATTGTCTATATTATACTTTATAGTTGCTTTAGAGTATTTTAAAGAATTATATAATTTAGCATATATACATTGTAATTCACCCTGATCAACCAATTAAAATATAAGATTAGGTGTAATATTACACGATTAGAAAATTCAAAACAAGTATTCATTTTGCCAAAAATTACTTATAACTCCAAATTTCTCATATACAACTATCTTTTTGGTCCTAACAAAAAAAATTCCTTGCAAGATTTTACTATAAACCTATCTTTTATAACTACTTTAACTTTACCTAATGCCAACCCTAATCATATAAAAACTATTGTTTTGATTTTATATTATACTTGATCTTATAGGGTGCATTATAACATACCTGCACAAAATAATTAAATCCATTTAAAATATGAATACTTAAAATCTAATACAGTTTGTTAGTATAGAAGATGAATATTCTTCTTGATTATGGACTTTACAGATACCAATAATAAATTTAGTTATTTATATCAAATTAATCTTTATTTGTAATAGATTTAATGCTATAGTTATATCTAACTTCTGAACACCAAGCTTCTAAGATTCTAACTCACTTAATAGTTGCTTTACAAATATTATACTTTTAATTATTTTAATTATTTTTTTTATTTGTAGGTTTATAATAAATATTTTTTTATTTGTAACTTTCAGCATTTTTTTATATACAGCACAATTTTGTAAAGAAATAAAGAAAAAAAGTAAAAGAGCAAAAATAAATATAAACAAACAAATATAAAATCAAATTATATTGAATTTTTCTTTTTTCAATATTATAGTATCAGTAACTTTTATTGTTAATACATAATTTATTTTAAAGTTTAATTTATTATTATTATTAAATTTAATTTCTAATTATTATAGAATATTATATAATATCATTATTAAATGCTTTGTACCAATAACTGATATATTTTATATAAAATTTGACTAGTCGATGTCTGAGTTCTGCAGAAGCCCAGATATCTTTGATCAAATTTTATATAAAATACTTCTCATTATTTATTACAAGAGAAGAGGAGGCGCCACCAGCGCCTCTATATTAATTGTAATATTTTTTATTGAGATTTATATATTATTTTTGTTATGATTT